CCTTTGGCAGCTGGTAACAGGGGCTTCTGGAACCCCCTCGCCAACAGCATCCGGCTGGAGCCATGTCTTGTATGTGCTGTCGCCATCGCCCCGATGTTGTGTTTACGCCAGCCCTTACCTTCTCCAGCCTGTGCTTCTTGCCAAGCACATTATAAATCTTTCTGATGGAAAATTGCTTTCTTTTATTGGGTGTCTCGCCATTCAAGGTAATTGGCATCTGTTCATGCATCTTGGAGTTTCTATTTTTATCAGCTGCTCACATATCCACATGTAGCCACTCTGCCTCATTATCCTAGTCAGTTTCAGACCTAGTGCTTTTGTTTTTGTTGTTATTAGTATGTAGAGGGGAGATGTGGAGGCAATGATGAACAAGGCTATTCCCTCTTCAGCCAGCCTCCTGGCACCAGGCTTCCAGCCACAATCGCTTGGCTCCCTGCATCACCAGCAGAAGAGAGGGTGAGCGTGCAAACAGGTCCTGGCACCAGTAATGTGCCTCAGCCACCTGGTACATGACGTTGCTTACCTGAATAACTGGGTCCTTCCCCTAAAGACATGAATTTATGTAACTCTAGATCTGTTATGAGAAAACCAAAGAATATTGTCCCAGGCTTAGTACGCAGGGAAACGTTCCTTCTTCTCCTTGGCAAAATGCAGAATCACACGTGTTGGATCCTCTCCGCTCCTGAGAGCGGGGCTGTGGGGAGAGCTCAGAGTGCACTGTCATGGCTCTGGCCTGATGATCCTGGGCCTAGATGCCTTGTATCTGCGTATGGAGTTTAACGCAGGGGTTCTCAACCTTTTTCTTTCCGAGGCCCCCCCAACATGCTATAAATCTCCACGGCCCACCTGTGCCACAACAGCTGGTTTAAAACCAGAGCCGGCATTAGGCGGTAGCAAGCAGGGCAATTGCCTGGGGCCCCCTGCGAAGCTAAGTTCAGCTTCAGCCTCGGATGGCGGGGATCAGGGCCCTGGACTTCAGCCCCATGTGGTGGGGCTTTGGCTTTCTGCCCTGGGCCCCAGCAAGTCTAACACTGGCCCCCCCCGGCAGACCCCCTCACCCCCCCCCCCCCCCCCCCCCGCCGGGCCCCTGGTTGAGAACCACTGGTTTAATGGATGCTTGCAGGAGATAGGGGATGGTGAAAGAAGAGAGAATATCAAAAGGTGAAATGCAGCTTATTCCTGCTAAACAGACCTTGGTGTGCATGATTGTGTTTTCCAGGTTTGGGATAGAAACCTATGGGCACCTCTGAAATTTAGAGAGCTGTCTCCCGGGCCATCAATAATAGCTCCAAACAGCTTAGATCCTACTCCAACTATGATGCCAACTCTTGCCACTTTATTTCTAATGTTACTGGGTGTTTTTTCTTAAACCCCCAGCTCCTGGAGTCACGTGATTGTGAGTCTCAGCTTCCACTTAAAAAAATGTTTCTAGCCAATCTCATGATTTCTGTGGAGCTGGTCTCGGGACTCTTGAGCCCTCAGGGCGGGCAATACAGCTGCAGCTGCAGTCAAAACTTCATGTGTCTATATAAAGCCTGAGCTGGTGGGGGGGTCTGTGTGCCTGAGAATCACCCTTTTGGTGAACTTCCACTTTCTGGCTGTCTTGTTTAGGGGGAAATTGAATAATATATTTTTTTCTTCCTGTTAGTTTTATCAAGTGGCCAAACCCAGGGTGTTGTTTTTTTTAAGAGTTAATATCAGCTAAACTTAATTTTCTCTCCAGGTTTCTGTGTTTAAATGGCCATACTTAGCAAATCTACAGGAAATAAGCAGAACTTTGTCAATATCATCAAGTTACGCATGCCCAGGATGTGTTAATAATAAAGTTTTCCTGCAGCTGCTTTGCAGGAAATCTCTGTGCTAACGTGAGGTACTGGGGAAGTAAATAGGCCCCCCCCATTGGAATGAATTTAGCGTGTGTAACGTTTCATGTTGCAGAGAGATGCCCTATTTATCCACCGAACGGGTACAGCATAGACAGCAGCAGCATAAACATCCCTCACGCAGCTTTGCTATTGTGTCTCAGTGCTAGGACTGACTGGGTAGTTCAGCCTTTCAGTCTCTTTCACTCATTGCTGGCAAGGGTGCTGGCTGACCGTTAACTCATGAAGGCACTGAATAGCCACGCAGAGGTTCTGACGTCAGCCGGGCTTGAACTGGTGACAAGGGAAAGTTCTTGTCATGGAGAGGGGCTCGACCAGGCCTTCTTGACCACTCCCCAGACTGTTGCCAGGGAATCCAGGTGCTGGATCCTGCGTGCTGTAAGTCTCCAGAGTCAGAATAGGCACAATGCTTGGGCGCCACCCCCACTCGAGACCATAGCCCATGTGGCCACTGCCCAGGCCCCGGGTCCTCAGGTTCCCCCGTAGCTTAAACCCACCCTCTCCCTGAACTCCAGCCAGTGGTGTGAGCCTGTTTGGTTACAGTTTACCACATACAGACTTTGCACAGGGCTAGAACCCAGCATTGCTCTGTCTTTAATAGCACGAGAAACACACAGATCTGTACACAAATAATCAACCCTACACCTATTTCTCTGCCTCAATTTCCTCACCCCTCCAGTGCCTTCTTTGGATTCATCCATCCAGGTCTTTCTGTTCCATGTCTTGGGTTCTGAGACATGGAATCTTCTTGTCTCCGCTGACCTGGGCCAATCCGTCCTTTCCCCTCTCCTGCCTGAAATTCCTGTGTGTGTCTTTGTGAGCCTTCCCCCGACCCACCTAGTCTCTTTGGGTTTTAAAGGCTGGCATTGACACCTTGGTGTTTGTCTTCTGCTTGGTGACTTTCCACTCTCCAAACCCGGGGCCCTTGTTGAGGAAAGACGGAGAAAACTATTCCCAACTCAGGCACCCTCCTTAGCATAGCTATTGTTTGGTGAGAGTACAGTCATTAAGGTTGACAACTCTCCATTGTCCCTGGTCTGGGGAAGATGTGATGCAGACCTTGCCAGCCCTTGTGGGTTCCACGTTTATGCAGAAGCATTCAGCCATACAGCAGTTTTTATAGTAACAATTTCATAATGTCAACCAGCATTCATGACTTTTACAGACCGATCCTCCAAATCATCACAGCTCTGTACATCACTTCCAGTCCTCAGAGCTATCCCGCGCCTGGGAAATGTGGCCTGGGAGTCGTTTCCGATTGGAATTTGAAGGTTGATGCTAAAAACCCCATTAATGTTTTATATAAATTGCAGCAAGGGCAGGTGTTGTCTCGTTCCGAGAGCATACAGAGCCTGGCATGATGACCCTTGATCCCTGACTGGGGCCTCTGGGTGTTGCCGCAATACAAAATAATGTTGTTCTTTAGTCCAAGGAGCTCAAAGCGCTTTACAAGCATTAGTGCATTAGCCCTCACGCAGGGTACGTCTACGCTACCCGCCGGATCGGCGGGTAGTGATCGATCTATCAGGAATCGATTTATCGGACGTGATAAATTGATCCCTGATCGCTCTGCTGTCGACTCCGGAACTCCACCACGGCGAGAGGCGGAAGCGGAGTCGACGGGGGAGCGGCGGCCGTCGATCCCGCGCCGCGAGGACGCGAAGTAAGTGATTCTAAGTCGATCTAAGGCACGTTGACTTCAGCTACGCTATTCTCATAGCTGAAGTTGCGTATCTTAGATCGATCCCCCCCAGTGAAGACCAGGCAACAGTCTGGTTAGGGAAGTATTAACTCCATGTTTCACATGGGCAAATGCAGAGGCACAGCTTGGCTAAGGGACTTGTCTAGGGTCACACAAGAGCCAGGAGTAGAACCCTTCTGTCCACAAGCCCCGCCTTCCTCTCTGCCCCTGTGCTGTGGGAGAAGCCGTATCGTTTAAGTGTATTTACCTGCAGCGAGAGAGCTGCAGAACGCTGTGCACAGCTAAAAAGGACCGCACGACAATTAAGCAATAAAAATAGGACTGGGGGGAGGAAGGCAAGAAAAGGAATGAAATCTTCACACGCGCTGCGTGAAGCTTATTCATCAAAAACCCAGAGGGAGTCAGTTCTGAAGCTTTAGATTAATAGAAAAAGAGGTATGACAAGCAAAGACATCAAAAGATCTCGAAACCATCAGTGAGCACTTTCTTTGAAGATTTAGCTAGTCAGCAGGGAAGAAATGTGACAACGGCATTTAAGACAACAGGTAGGAAGGAACCTGGCGCAAACAGACAGCTCTTAAAGTCAGCATGTTGGCAGATGGGGTAGCGCTGAATGGGGAGGGAGGCCATTTATCTGTCTGTAGGGGTGTCTGTGTTTAATGTGTTGAGATTGAAGAAGAAGCAGGTACTTTTAACATGCCGTGTCGTGGCAAAAGATGCATCGGAAAGAAATTCCTGATTGTTTAGTGGCCTTCCTCTACATCAGCCTCACCTTACGCTGCAAGAGGGGGAGAAATAGGGCCAGAGCCTCAGCTGGCATAAATCGGTGCTGCACAACGTAAACCAGTGGAACTGCTGGTTTGCATCAGCTGAGTATCTGGCCCAGAAAGTTTTGCTAACTGACATGATGTAATAAGCTTCCTTAAAGGTAGCAAAAATACCCATAGATTCAAAGATTTTAAGGCCGGAAGGGACCGTTTGATCATCTAGTCTGACATCCTGTATATCACAGGCCACTGACTTCCATCCAGTTACCCGGGTTCGAGCCCGGTACCTTCTGGTCGGCTAAAGCATCTTCCAGAAAAGCCTCCAGTCTTGATTTGAAGACAAGAGATGGAGAATCCCCCCACTTCCCTGGTAGTTTTTTCCAGTGGTTAATCACCTTCACTGCTAAAAATGTGTGCCTTATTGAATTTGAAGTTGTCTGGCGTTAACATCCAGCCATTGGTTCTTGTGAGGACTTTCTGCAGTAGATTCAAGAGCCCTTTAGCAACAGGCATTTTCTCCCCAGGAAGGTCCTTGTGCACTGCAATCAAGTCCCCTGTGCTATAGAAACCAGTCAGCTTAAAATGAAAAAACTCAGAGGAAAAGACTCCAAATGGCTTAACCCTTGTCTGTCTTCTTTTCTCTTTCAGTTACAGAGAAGGAGGTTCAGCAGTGGTGAGTTCCCAGCCCCGTGTTTCTGATTCTTGCGAGCTCCCGGGTGCATGCAGCCGTCGAGTGACAAGTCAGTTCTCTCTGCTGCGTTGAGTGTGTGCACCTTGTGTAACCGTATGCGTGTGTTTGCCTCCGTTTCTTTTCAGAGTGGTATTGTCCGGGAAGCTGGCTGAACTGAGATGCAAAGGCAGGCGTCATGAGACAAAAGACTCATACACAAGTCATTTCAGGGCGTGGCTCCTGTGCCCAACAGTCTTTCCCATAATCCATTTCTGCCTCGTTCAGGCACCAGGCTCTGCATGCAGCTATTTGGCTGCCTGGTTCTTCTGTACTGAGGGCATGGCTACACTTGCAGCTGTAGAGCGCTTTGAGTTAAACTAGCCTTCGGAGAGCGCAGTAGGGAAAGCGCTGCAGTCTGTCCACACTGACAGCTGCAAGCGCACTGGCGTGGCCACATTAGCAGCTCTTGCAACGGCCACAGAGAGCAGTGCATTGTGGTAGCTATCCCAGCATGCAAGTGGCTGCAACGTGCTTTTCAAATGGGGGTGGGGTGGAGTGTGACAGGGAGTGTGTTGTGTGTATGTGGGGGGAGAGAGAGTGGGTTTTGGGGGGAGCTGAGAGCATGTCAGCATGCTGTCTTGTAAGTTCAGACAGCAGCAGACCCTCCCCCCCGCCCGCCTCTCTCTCTCACAGCATTTCACAGTAATGGTTGCTTTGTCTCGGAGCAGATAAGCAGCCGGCTGTCAGAAACAGAGCTTTCAAAGGGCATATCCGCATTCCTGCAGCGATTCCAAAACAATGACAAGAGTGGCCGCTTGACTTAAGGGGATTATGGGATGTTTCCGGAGGCCGATCAGAGCGCAGTAGTGCAACACCCTGTTCACACTGACGCCTGGGCGTTTCAGCCATGGCGCACCAAGCGTTAATCTTCTCGCCGAGGTGGAGTACCAGGAGCGCTCTCGCCCTGGAGTCAGAGCACTCTACGGGCCTTGCCAGTGTGGACGGGGAGTGAGCTAGGACACCCGGGGCTGCTTTAATGCGCTCTAACTCACAAGTGTAACCAAGCCCTGAGTATTAGTTCCTCACCTGCCCTTTGAAATCCACTGGGCAGGAAGTGTTTTCATGACTCAGGACCACCCTTGGGGTTCGGCTGCACTGCAATCCAAAGTGTGTTTGCAGCTCAGGAAGACACAGCACTGATAAAACCAGTCACGTAGATGTGATGACACTGGCTTCAGCAATGCAGATATGTACCCGGGGCTCAAGCTGTCCTGCAGTGGTTCAGCACCAACCTCAGGGCAGACTGTTAAGAAGCAGAGCACAAACCCCAAATTGGCTGTGAGTTCTCTACTTAGATTTCACCAACCAAGCATCAAGTGTAAACTCCTCAGGCCCTATAACGGCCTAACCACGGAGTCACAGACAGTCCTCTTGGGTACTCCGGCCTATCTTGTCAGCTAGGCAAGCTTGCCTTTGTGACAGATGGTCCCTTACACCAAAAATCACAACAACATTCAGGTTACTCCCAGTCCCAAGGACCAGTCACTTACCTCAGGTCAATTGCACCTTTGCACCTTTGATCTCACACTAAAGACAATATTTGTAGCCAGTCCTGTAACAAATTATCTAAAGGTTTATCAACTAGGAAAAGGAAATGAAAGTTATTTACAAGGCTAAGGCTGGTAAACATACGTACGCACAAATGAGGATAAGCAAGCTCTACGTGTCCTTTAGGGCTAACCCAGGCCAAGCACTGGAGATCTTCTGTTTATGCTTAGTAACCCTTGCCCCTCAGAGTCCAAGCAGCGTAAAAGATACAGTTCCTCTTGTTAGGGCTTTTTATTCCTTCCCCACTTCTGCTTCCAGTTGCTAATTCAGTTGGGAAGCATTCACTTGCATGTCTTCTCTTCCCGGGGCCGGGGAGAGTCTTTTGTCCTCTGACGTTCCACAAAAGTTCATCTGGTGTTGCTGGGCCTTCCTTTGTTGGGCAGGAGAGAACACCTCCTGGTGGAGACTTGTACTTCATGTGGATTCATGTCTCTTTCCTCTCTGGTGGTATGCATAGTTACAGAGGCTTACAATGCAAATGTTTCAATATTACCTTACAATATGGGAGACAGATGTTGTAAGTGAGATTAACGCCTGCAGCAACTTACAAGCATTCAGCAAAGCCTAAACATTAAGCACATTTTTGTAGCTCTAATACCTGTTTTAACAATACTAACACACAGGTGAGCCAGACTAATTCCAGCCATGTGTTTGTCAGTATCCAAGTGAGGCATGGGCACCTTGGCATAAGCTGGCACCTGGTTTGCCAGCATCACACTGGATTCCAGGGGGGCTTCTACAGCCCACACTGATCTCCACGCCACTGCACCTACAGTGCCATTTTTATTGGCGGTAGCTAGATTCAAGCTAGCGCGGGTACGTCTGACCGAGCTGCAGTCACATTTTGGATTGCAATATAGGCCTACCTCTGGCCACAGCAGGCAGACACCACGGGGCAGGCTGCCCAGCGGAACGACCTTTTGCTACGCTGCAGAACCAAATGTGATGGCAACGTTAGCCGGGGTTGGTATCAGAAGGGGGTCTCAGTTTGCAGAGCCCACCCACCTGGTCCTCCCCTCCCTGTCAGGTTGCATGCGATGCATTGTGACATAAAGCCCTGAAGATCTGGGGGCTCTGGGAGATGCAGAGTCTTTCTAAGAGCAATCTCCATGGCTTAATAGCTGGATAATGCTGCATGTTAGGCAGCCTCAAAACTCCTGGAGGGCGGCATAAATAATGGAGCGGCTTAAAATAAAAAAAGCTGTAACCCGTGTTTGCAGGTTTTCTCTGCTGCAGTTTTCCAGATAAATGAGCTTTGCCTCCAAAGCAAGTGCTGACATTGATGCTGTTACACGCTCACCTCTGCGTTCGAACAAGCGCCGGAACCTTTCTGAGGCTGCCCGGGCATGAGAGACAGTGACAAATGTGAAGGGAGAGCGAGCGTTTCTTAACACCACTCCTGTGGTGCAGCGCCAGCCATAAATCCCGTGCTGGCTGTGCTAGTTCTGCACATCGTGTTCCAGCGCGCGTGGTGTGCGGCGATGCTTGTGCCTTTCCACCTCCACGAGCATCACGTGCAAGAGCCCGTCGCTCTTGGCTCTGGGTAAAGGTGAAAAATCAAATTCCATCTGCTTCCAGCAGAAGGAGGAAATGGAACGAAGTGATCAGTGAAAAATGGAGCTTGCCAAGCCCTGTCTTAGCACCCTCTCTAGCTTTGATGGGTTAGCTCCTGCATGGAATAAATTCCAGGCACTGATTCTCCAGCAGCAATCAGAAACCATCCCATCAAAGCCAGAGACGGTGTAGATGGGTGTAAAAGCAGAGCAAGCCAGAATAGAATCTGGCCCATTACCTTGGCATTTCTTTAAATGCCTGTAACATGTTGGTTATGGCAGCTGGCTCATCAGCAGACTATCTTGAAAACCCACCTAAATTACGCGATGCAGCCTGACTGGTGTGTGCGGCATGCTGAATTTGGTCCAGCAAGGAAAAGAGCTTTTCTTGTCCTCTTAAAGACAGCGCAGCGTGCGGATATCCCACCCTTTTCATTTTGCCGGTGGTCATGGCAAATGAAGTCTAATGCGGATGAGAATCAAAGTTCAGGAGCTTCAGTTGGAGAGTGAGTGTGGTGGTGTGTCTCTTTAATGAAGGTGATACGTGCACCCCTGGGAAACGATCTTGCTTTTTATAAGGCCCCTCAGCATCCTGGTATCTGAGCACAGAAGCCATGAGAGGTTGTGCTTTGCATGGGGCAACCAGATCTCCTGGTTAGCAGGATACCAGCACCCTTACTGCAGCATTTGGCTTGAAAGGATTATGACCATAGCCCAGGGGGCAACATTTGAATATTCCTTTGAGCGTGGGCCTCAATCCTCCAGCCCTTACTCTTGCAAGCAGTCCCATTGAAATCAAGGGGGACTCGGCTTCTGGATAAGGGTAACAGGATCAGGACCTTGGTGCAGCCCTTCCACTGTGGCAATTATTCTAGGCTGAGGATGGGGGAGGAAAGATGATGAGACCTAATTTTCAGAAGTGCTGAGCGCCTGCAGCTCCCACGGACATGAAATGAAGTTGAGAATGCTCCGGAGCTCTGGCAGTCAGCCCCGGTGTGTGCACTGAAAGCATGTTGGTGGAAAAGGCCTTGTTTTTCTGTTTTTACAAACTCTTGCATCCTGCTGAGTGGCTTAAAACTCAACAGATATTTCGCCATGTATAGCAGGAAGAATTCTGTTCCAGTGTCACGCCAGCCAAATTGGATTATGGTAATTCAGTTCTCAGTAGCATTCAGCAACCCATTGTGCTTCCAGAGCTGGGGAGAATTCCTTTTCTGAGATTTCCTTTGGACTGGGATCGTGGGATTTTCATTTCATGCATGGGGCAGATTAAGGACAAGGCATCTGGACACTAAACAAAATACATCCCGATGTGATGTTTCTCAGCAAGGCGATTATCCATTGTGTGCCCATTATATCTATGGAGCCCTGTGTGCCCCATATCTGACTGTAAATAATAACATTTGTAATCTCAGTGGAGAGCAGAGAAACACAATTAAAGTGCACTTCAGTTTCCAGCATGGTGTGTTATCTTTAGTGAAGCGCTCTTGTATATTGAGAGAGACGATAAACGGGAGTTCATGCTTTGTAGACTAATGGCTCAGCTTGTTGATCTGACATTGGGCCATTCCGCTCCTGAGAGCACTAGTTAAAGCTTGTCTACCCGGGAAGTTCTTCCAGAATGAGGTAGAGGGTGAATGTAAAGGGCTATAGTTATTCCAAAATAACCATTGTGGGAATTGCTGGTTCTGCAGTAGCTGTTCTGGGTCAGGTTCCCAGTGGAGGCGCATCCTTAGATTCGGGGTGCTCTTAGCCAAGAGGTTTGAGCATTGGCCTGCTAAACCCAGGGTTGTGAGTTCAATCCTTGAGGGGGCCATTTAGGGAACTGGGGTAAAAATCTGT